TTGTTTTTCATCAGCACTGCACTGGACTGGCTCTGCAGTCAGAGGCTGTAGCTGATCCAAACATTTCATCCTAGTTGGAAGAAGGGTGATGAAACATTTGGAAGAGGACAAGACTCCAGATGTGGTAGAGAGGGCTCAGGGCATCATTAGTAGCCCCTGTCAGCAGACACTATTATGAGATCTAAAATAGATGACAGTGTAAACTGACATATTACCAACAGCAATTGCAGCCGCCATCAGTCTTTCTCTGTTTGGAATAGTAATGCAGTCCAGGTTGGGAGGCTGAGTGAGCTGGCCTCCAGTGATCCTTGAGGGACGTCTTGCTATGATGTGCTCTATCATTCATTGTAAATGGTCTTGATTCTAACAGTGGAAATTAATACTATAGCTCTTCCAAATCAGCAATGTCCTTCTAATCAGGTAAACTGTTTTTGACTTTCTACAAAATTTGTCTGTGTGGTAGAAAATATCCACAGTGAATTTGTGCTCTTTGGTTTGTTTTCATATGACTAATAGATTGTGGAGAAAAATCACTGGAAATATATGTCGTCTCTTTGAACATGGGAGTGATAGATCATTGACACGGGAAACCAGTGACATTACACAAAAAGATATTTAGGTCAAATTCTCAGGGCCTCTGTAATAATTTCATGTATCTTCATCCATATAAATATGAATATATCCTGTGAAGGATTTGAAAGATCTGTACACCCTAAATCATGACCTTTAAGGTGCAGTATCCCAGCCCTCAGGCTTACTCCAGACATCAGAGAAGCAAGGCTCATACAGGATTGACTTGCACCTTGTTATTATTTGCACTACTGTCACGGTTCGCACATGGCTTTGAGTTTCATCATCACCTATTAGGTTGTATCATCTAGTTTATCCTTATTACTTGAATTCAGTTTTCATATTCTGTTTATTCTACTTTTATTCTATTTTAATTTCTTAAATGGTATGGGCATTCAACATTAGGTGAGAGAGAAACAGTATTTTGATTTTTCTGTATGTCCTCCACATATAGTGAATTGATAATACAAATCTTTGATCTCTTTGATCAAATGCCAGAGGGATTACAAGGGATTACAAGCCGAACAGGGGTGATAACAAATAACTAAAAGTGTCTGTGAGTTTGTTTACTGTGCTGTAATTTTGATTCAGTGGAAACAATCTGCTGCACAAAAGTCTCTCTGTTGAATATGAACTACTAACCCAGTGAAGACCTAAAAGGTGACTCCGAAGAGCAGCTTTATTGGACTCCAGTGGCAACACAGCGTCACAGTAAGAAAAAAAAAAGGCCACTCCAAACAATGTCACTTCACCAATAAATCACATTGTCCAGTGAAGTATCAGCACTGTTAACGAGAGACTGTTCGATGTTGAAGTGGTGTGTTAACCTAGGCTGAGTGTTTGGGACATTCTGATCACTACTGAAGCAGTGGGTTAAACTTGGAAAGTGGATTGAAAGATATTTAAAATGTGAAATTGTGTTGCTTTATTTCTGGAAACTTGCTTTGCCACAAGAGCACACGTTTTCATTTTACCGCAGTGATTCCTAATATGTGCAGGCGGCTATGTTGAATACACAGATATGCATGCTTCATATATAAAACAAATAGAAATTTGTCATGAATTCTAAGTAAGAAATCAGAGAATAAAATAGATTTAACCATCAGCAGCCTTCAGTCCAATCCAAACGCTTTCTTCAGTGTCAGTGTCAGTTGCGTTCTTTTCATTTTCACTAAGCTGGTGTTGTTTTGAACTGGGCATCATTCAGGCCTGCTGAGTGTATGCTAGGATGACGAGTGGGCAGCAGCCACAGCTGTTCCCAGATGCATACGCAATGCCATTTGTCCCGCTCTTTAATCCCCCTTGCAGAAAGAGGAGAGGGCCGTTACTGGACCATGAAATTGAGTACAAATCAAGAGTCTGTAGCAGCAGCCAGCTGTCGCTGAGGCCGCACTCATCGGAAACAATCAGTCACAGGGTTTGGAGTCTGAATCACAGGTCCTGCTGGGTGTGGATACCTGTAGGCTGTTTTAGTATGACTAGGGTTACAGAGGGAGCAAGGGGTAAAGAGAGAACTTCCAGATCATAAAAACTAGTCAACTAAACAGGGAAGTCAATTTACTTTCACATTTTCAGGCTTATTATATATTACAGACTGAGATGTGGAAGGCCAAGTAGTAAGAGTAGTTGTTTTAATGGTCATGCACAAGAGTAGTTTTATAATGGATGTGCCACTTGTGGCATTTTGTCTCTCAGGTTATGTTAATTAATAAATAAAGTTGAGATGGAAAAAAAATCACTAAAGGCCTTACCACATTACAGACAATCAAGGCATTTTATGAATTGTTAAAAAGATTCCATGTTTGAATTTCAGCTGTTTTTTTTAAATGTTGATGCATTATTTGTATTGTCCTTTGACACCCCCCCCCACACACACACACACACACACACACACACACATAGAATAGTTTATTTGTTTTCCATTTGTTAATTTGTAAAAAAAAAAAAAAACATTTATTCTATATAATACATTTAATTTTTACTATACCTACATTGTGTGAAATACTGAAACCCAGGACATCATAATTGTGAACATATAGTATTTACTATACAAGTTCAGTTTGATGCAGTTGGTGTCTCTGGAGACTTGTTATAATGTTCCTCCTAGCAGCATATGTTTGCACAGATGTATCTATCACCAATGGATCCTAGACAGTTTAACAGTTGTGTTTTTGTTCTGGTGTAAACTTCTCTTTGCCACAACCTTTTTAGGCTTCTATACTGGGAAAGCAGAAGAAAGGGGCAGTTCTCCATCTTATTATATAACTGTAGTGATAGTACACATGTCACATCAAAAAGATTGTTTCCCATACTTTATTACATTTTTAAAAATTATTATCCCTAATGTAATTTGCCACTAGAGTTGTCAGATAACTTTTTTGGATAATCTTAGTTTAATGTTATAACTTTGCTCAGTATTCCTAAAGCTCAGACGTCTGCTGAAGTGGGATGCACACTTGTGGTGGCAACATAAATAGGATGTCCACGTCTGTGCCAGGCAGCCATGACTTAGCAAAGTGTAGGGGTGTGGGACCAGGACTGTTCATGACCGATTGGTTGAATGCCTGTGCCTGAGGACTAATAACATATGCGACCAGAGGGGACACCTATGCGACCTCTAGCCCTGTGTCTGAAGGAAAAAGGTCAATTAATTTACATCTCTTTAATTTAAAGTATATCAAATGAGTCAAAATGCTAATTACAATACACTTTTTTTCAAATGCCCACATTGGGGAGGTAAAATCAAACTTCTTTTTTTACTCTGTAAATACTCCTCTCACAACAGAGTGCTTTTTGTGAGGACATATCATCTCCAAACAAGCTGTCCATACTTCTGTGAGGGCCCAAGGTGAAAAGGCCAAGCTGTAAAAATATCTGAGAAAAGCCTCTAGAACAGTTAGTCTGGGTGTGGTGTGATCGCTCAGCCTGTCAGGAAAGGCACTCATTGGTCTAATTGGTAATGTGACACTTTAGTGTCACTGCATCTTGGTCTGGTAAAAACATGAAGACAGTGGCAGACAGAGGGGGCAGCCACCATCCGAAACACAGTGTCACCCTAGGTTCAGACTGAACGAGCAGGACAAAGCAGTGATATAAGCTTTTCTTTATATCTCTTAATGTTTTGTGCTTTGGAAACGCTGGATGTTCTTGTGGTTTGGTTCAGCGTTTCTGTGCTGTATAAGTGTAACTGTTAGGGTGATCAGAGTCATAGACGGTGTTCATGTTAGCTCAAGTGTCCACAAAGCAGGCAAATGTACTATATTTGGAAATACAACTGTGATGCAGCTGTTACTGATTTTGAGGATAAGTAACAAGGTAGAATATGTGCTATGTATGTGGTGGCTTGAGAGTTCATATATGCAGAAATCTTAAACTTGGAAGTAGATAGCTATGTCTAGTGGAATGTGAGTGTAAACATCTCGGTGAGTGTGTGGATGATGAAAAGTTAAATAGGTAGGAGCTGAGAATATAGAAGTCTAAGATTAGCCTGCCCTCTGACTCGGCCTGCAGATGCCAGCCATGGTTGCCATTCCTCCCTGCTCTGTCCAGCAGGGTGCCAAAGATCAGTATATCAGATCACACGCCCCAGAGACAGGGCAGGGATCACAAGCCATTCACAAAATATTCACAAATGCATCTGCCATTATTTAGCCAGTGGAATGTGCTTTTGAGCTGTTAAACATATGGGAAGTAAGGTTGCGTCCAGTGAATTCCCACGAGAAGAAAGCAACTTACAGAAATTTGTATATGCTCATGTGGGTTGGTGTTTTGTTGATCCAGATGCATGAGTGAGAAAGCATGTATGTGAGTCTGTCTGTGGAATTCCTACAACAGAGCGGATCCGTAAGGTGACCTCAAACTCCCGGTCAGGTGCAGAGTTGATCTTGAAGGGGAATTTGTGAGTGTGAGTAGGGACACGGGTGGGAAAGCACAGGACCTAAATCCATAGTCGACAGCTGTTGTGCTTGCATGTTTCTCACATGTGTGTTGTGTGAGTGTGTTTGTGAATGTAATGTGGTGAGAGAGGACCGAAATGAGCATGAGTGTTTGTGCTTCGATGCCCTAAGATGAATTTGCGCTCAGTTCAAAGGGAGCCAAAACAGACATGAATTAGCAAGTGATATCCGAAGCCATGGTTTGGCATCAGTTCCATGGATTCCACATTATAGACAGCATCAGCACTACAGCTAACATACAGCCATTCCATCGGGCCATTGAGAGTTTTACAGCACCGAGGGACACGCTTTACATGGTTTTCCAGCTGCACATAGTTACAATGTCATGATTTGGGTTTTCCATGAAGGAAAGTTCCTGAAATCAAAATCTACACTTCATGGAACCTGATTTAATGGCATACTGGAATGTGATGTGCATTAATGTACTGCAACAGCATGTTCCTGTGATCTTGTTTTGTGTTTCATGTTTTGCAGGTGTGGTGCTCTGCAGAACTATACCACAGTGAGGAAGAGCTGCATCCCCAGGCCCTTCACCCATGGAGAAATCAAGGCAAGGGACTGGTCAGGGTGAGGAGAGACTGGATCATCCCTCCAATCAGAGTGTCTGAGAACAGCAAGCAGGTTCCTGAAAACCTTGTCCAGGTAATAATGTGAACTTACAGTGTTTAAAGTCAGCATTTCATCAGAGAACAATCCATCAGAGGCATAAATATTAAGCTGCTTAAAGTATAGGTTTACAGTTTTCATGCCAAAAGATTGAGGATAAAGCTACATGTCACAGTAATACTTCAACTTTTATGGAAATTAGACTGTGATCAAAAGGGTCTGGTGTTATTCTTAAGACTAAACCCTCATCGGGCACATGCTTTAATTTTATAATTCAGTCTTGACTGTATAGAGCTAAATGCTGACACCTATTAAACAGGATGCTAAACTGCCATGTACTTTTAGTTGTAATTCTTCATCACAAATAATTAAACACAGCACAAACCGGTGTTAAAAGATGTAAAATGTAAATGATGTGTTAAGGGTGTTACAGATTACTAGTAAGTGTATAAATCCTACCACATAAGCAGTATATGTAAGTATGGAACCATATTTATGAAGTGATGATCGTAATGTAGCGGCAGTATGTCAAAGAATGTGAATACAAAATGCATAGAATAACAGTAGACTACTTGCTATTATTAGATCTGACTCTAATTTCCTGCCATAAGTCAAAGTCCTCTCTGATTTAAAACAGTCCCTAACTGTCAACATACTCACATCTGGTGTTACAGCATATGATTTAAAATCTTCCTCCTCCATCTTCCCACAAGGTTGTGATGTTCATCAGCTTTATCATCTTTCTGTGTCTAGATCAAATCAGACAAAATCTTTACAAGTAAGGTGATCTACAAATTAGAGGGACCAGGAGTGGACCAGGAGCCCAAGAATCTGTTTGAGATTGATGACCGAACAGGAATAATCAGGAGCAAGCGGCCGCTGGACAGAGAGAAATACAGCAGTTTCGCAGTAAGAAAAGTATTTATGGGAGTAACATTTTAAATCACCCTGACACTTGAGTTTTAAAGCACAGTCAAACAGGGAAACTTTACACAAGCCACAGTTCATTCAGTGAGACCTTGCACAATGTGTTTTGAAGCATACTAGGTCCTTGTTTTTGTTTGGCAGCACATAGTATATCAGTGTCTCGGGCACTAGTGCAAACAGCACTCAGTTTCCAAGGGCCTTTATGGGCATCTTGGGAGAGACTTCTGAATGTTTGAGACCAGATGACTTGTGATGTAAGCCATGATGATGTTGAACCAAACATCCTGCACATTTGTTTCTGCCATTTCCAAATATGTTGTATACAGAATCTTGTTGGATCTTTCTCTCACAGAATGAATAAGATCTGTGGTAATTTATGGTAACAACAAACAAACAAACAAAAAACCCAGCTATTTCAAAAATGTTGTTTTATTAAGGAGCATTTACCTGTTGTATCTGTTTGCATGTGTGTAGCTGAAAGCCTTTGCACTGTCCCCCAGTGGAGAGAGACTAGAGAATCCCACCACCATAGAGATAATGGTGCTGGATCAGAATGACAACAGACCTGCCTTCACCCACAGCCAGTTTATTGGCACTGTCCCTGAGTTCTCAGTCCCAGGTACATCCTATAATATGACCTTTTAAATGTATTATCTTTTGCATGATGTTCCCAAAAGCCCACTTAAATGTTCTTGAAGTAGTTTCAAAGGTTTCTAAAGTAGCTTTAACTGAAGTGTAACACATATCTTATACTGTTAGCTAATTGTGTGTTTGTTTCAGTGTGTCACTGAAACCACTGTGCAACAGTTCAACGCTGCTATAATCAGTAATCTAACAATATGTGAAAGGGTCAGCTGTGATGATGAAACTACATTTAAGTATCACCTCACTCTGCAATCCTCTTCAGCTCTGCAGAGCATTGCAGAGTTTTCTGGCTGGTTTTACAGCCCACAACTGTTGTGGTTCACTCTTACCACTGTCATTGGTTTTCAAATGCAGCAGGCAGCTGTTTGCAGCAGGCCTGTTCCAAATCACCACCTGCCCAGCATCGAACAGCATCAGACAAAGTTAGCAACTAGCTGGTAAATATAGTGGAGCATTTAGCAGCTAACGAGCAAGATGCTCCCCGCTGGAGTTGGTAGAACTCAGAGCAGAGCTAAAAAGAAAGGAAAGAAATCATTTAATGCAGGATTAGAATTAGGTAAAATACTTAAATCCTAGATGACTATACTGTTCCATTTCCAATTCTGTGCACAGTTATCCTGTTTTACCTGTAATATTGTCATTAGTATAACAACAGCAAAATTGCACAAACAAATAAATTAGTTGATATTGAGGGAAAGGTTTTGATTCTTTTTGATAGGCACATCGGTGATGTCAGTGTCGGCCACTGATGCAGATGACCCAATGACAGAAAACGCTCTTCTTAGCTACTCTATCATTGGCCAGGAGAGCTTTCCTGGCAACACTGTTAACAAGACTATGTTTGGCATCAACAACGAGACGGGAGCCATTTACACAAGAGATGTTGGCCTGGACCGAGAGGTAGCATGCAAGTTAAGGTTAAGAGTCAGGTTTGTGCAGATCTTCAAAGTGTGGCTCATTTCAGTAAAATGTGCTCATCTGTGTCCTAGGTGGTGAAGAGTTTCCGATTAAAACTGCAGGTTGCTGATATGGGAGGCATGGGACTGACAAGCGATGGTGTAGCAATCATACATGTATCTGATATCAACAACCATGCCCCACAGTTCAGCCCTGTCTCGGTGAGTTTCAGACAACAATATAAGGAACAACATATCTTTAGTTAACTGAAAAAAAATTGAAAAAATCAACTGGACTTAGATTTCTAGGTCAAAGACGTTTCACTTCTCATCCAAGAGGCTTCATCAGCTCTTCTTCTTCATCAGAACTGATGAAGTTTTTTCAGTTTACTATGACTTGGATGACTGAGAATTTGCACAGACATATCTTTAGTTATTTAATTAAAATGCTCATTTCATTTAGCATTAGGTTAAATCATTAGATAGTAATTTTTCATTTCAATTATTATTTAATGGCGTTTGTTGCACCACAGGGATGTGGATCCTTTGACCTGTGGTTTTGGTTTTTTTTTGGTGCATGTAGTACAGGATGACAGCAGTGGAGAACAGGAAGGACTATGAGATTGGCCGGGTGAATGTGACAGACAGTGATGATCGTGGAACAGAAAACTGGAAAGCCAGATATTCCATTTCCAGTGATCCTAACAGCAACTTCGCCATTTCTACGGATCCTGCCACCAACCAGGGCATTCTGACAGTAGTGAAGGTACAGCTCGATGGAGGAACGTGATGGTGGGGTTGTGGTGATTGCTTTGAGGTCCTCAGACACAGCTCAACAACACTGTCTAGTGGTTGTGTGTTGAACTACACGTAACTCAGACAATGTTGATTGAGTTATTATCCAACCACATTTCAGTGCACAGTTTTCAGAACTGTCTGTTCTGTCCTGCATTGCAGCCCCTGGATTATGAGGCACAAAGTCAGCACATCCTGATTCTGACAGTGGAAAATCTCAATCCTCTGAGCAACAAGGCTCCCAACCTGCCAGTGAGCACTGCTACAGTGCTTGTTACTGTTGTGAATGAGAACGAAGCTCCACATTTCAGAGAGGATCCTATACAGATTGTGGTTCTTGAGTCTGTGGGTCCTGGGACACTGTTGAAAAGCAATATTGCCTATGACCCTGATCATTCTGATCTGAGGTATGACTCAACAACAAAATAAGAGGAGTATTTTCTTGTTTCTAAAAGAGTTAATGTTCCTCTTGTTCTCTGTGTGGCAGGTTTGAGATTAGCAGAGATCCTGAAAGGTGGCTGGATATCAACAGAGACACAGGAGACATTACAGCCAGGAGAACCTTTAACATGCGATCTCCACATGTTAAAAACAACGTCTACAGTGCTATTGTCAAGGTTATAGGTCAGTTCATCCACTCAATCCGTTCTTCTAGCATATAACATATGCCAATATTTTTAATGTAACAATTTTCTTAATGAATCAGAAAAAAAGGAAAGAGGCAGAAGAATACAATGTAAATAAAACTTACCATAAAACTTCATTTTAGTTGTTGCTTATGTTGTTTTGTTTTCGTTCAAGTTAAAGTACTGTGACATACTAGGAACACAGGGCTGGTATTAGTTCCTGTGATTGAAAAACATTGATTGATTGATTGATTGATTGATTTTATTCTTTCAAACATGCAGAACAGAACAAATGAACAAATGGCAACAACACACATAATTACACATATCCAACCAATGCTAATCCAAAATCAGTTTGCTTACACATATTACATGTTTGAATGGAGTAGGAAGAAGTCAGACTTATCCAGTCCTACCCCATGACATCATATTATACAAAAATTAATGCATCATTGGCTGCAAGCAGTATCTCTACATAAATAAACAGAGTATTTCCTTAATGCCTTCCTATGTCTAAACTCCTCAATTCTAGTACTATTCTTCATGTCCACAGTTCAATTATTCCATAATTTGACCCCACTTATAGAAATACAAAATCTTTTTTTGGTTGTTCATCAGCTCTTCTTCTTCATCAGAACTGATGAAGTTTTTTCAGTTTACTATGACTTGGATGACTGAGAATTTGCACAGACATATCTTTAGTTATTTAATTAAAATGCTCATTTCATTTAGCATTAGGTTAAATCATTAGATAGTAATTTTTCATTTCAATTATTATTTAATGGCGTTTGTTGCACCACAGGGATGTGGATCCTTTGACCTGTGGTTTTGGTTTTTTTTTGGTGCATGTAGTACAGGATGACAGCAGTGGAGAACAGGAAGGACTATGAGATTGGCCGGGTGAATGTGACAGACAGTGATGATCGTGGAACAGAAAACTGGAAAGCCAGATATTCCATTTCCAGTGATCCTAACAGCAACTTCGCCATTTCTACGGATCCTGCCACCAACCAGGGCATTCTGACAGTAGTGAAGGTACAGCTCGATGGAGGAACGTGATGGTGGGGTTGTGGTGATTGCTTTGAGGTCCTCAGACACAGCTCAACAACACTGTCTAGTGGTTGTGTGTTGAACTACACGTAACTCAGACAATGTTGATTGAGTTATTATCCAACCACATTTCAGTGCACAGTTTTCAGAACTGTCTGTTCTGTCCTGCATTGCAGCCCCTGGATTATGAGGCACAAAGTCAGCACATCCTGATTCTGACAGTGGAAAATCTCAATCCTCTGAGCAACAAGGCTCCCAACCTGCCAGTGAGCACTGCTACAGTGCTTGTTACTGTTGTGAATGAGAACGAAGCTCCACATTTCAGAGAGGATCCTATACAGATTGTGGTTCTTGAGTCTGTGGGTCCTGGGACACTGTTGAAAAGCAATATTGCCTATGACCCTGATCATTCTGATCTGAGGTATGACTCAACAACAAAATAAGAGGAGTATTTTCTTGTTTCTAAAAGAGTTAATGTTCCTCTTGTTCTCTGTGTGGCAGGTTTGAGATTAGCAGAGATCCTGAAAGGTGGCTGGATATCAACAGAGACACAGGAGACATTACAGCCAGGAGAACCTTTAACATGCGATCTCCACATGTTAAAAACAACGTCTACAGTGCTATTGTCAAGGTTATAGGTCAGTTCATCCACTCAATCCGTTCTTCTAGCATATAACATATGCCAATATTTTTAATGTAACAATTTTCTTAATGAATCAGAAAAAAAGGAAAGAGGCAGAAGAATACAATGTAAATAAAACTTACCATAAAACTTCATTTTAGTTGTTGCTTATGTTGTTTTGTTTTCGTTCAAGTTAAAGTACTGTGACATACTAGGAACACAGGGCTGGTATTAGTTCCTGTGATTGAAAAACATTGATTGATTGATTGATTGATTGATTTTATTCTTTCAAACATGCAGAACAGAACAAATGAACAAATGGCAACAACACACATAATTACACATATCCAACCAATGCTAATCCAAAATCAGTTTGCTTACACATATTACATGTTTGAATGGAGTAGGAAGAAGTCAGACTTATCCAGTCCTACCCCATGACATCATATTATACAAAAATTAATGCCCTCAATTCTAGTACTATTTTTCATATCCACAGTTAAATTATTCCATAATTTGACCCCACTTATAGAAATACAAAATCTCTTTTTGGTTGTACGTATAACATGAACTTTTAAATTTAAGTGACCCCTTAAGTTGTATCCCCCTTCACTTTAACCAAATAACTTTTGGATTCCACCAGGTAATAAGTCGTTCCTGGCTTTATACATAAACACAGCAGTCTTATATTCCACTAAATCAAAGAATTTTAACAATTTAGACTGTATGAAAACTGCATTTGTGTGATTCCTATACCCCATCTTGTGCACAACTCTTATCGCTCTCTTCTGTAATATGTACAATGGTTGAAGTGAACTCCTGTATGTATTTCCCCAGTTTTCCACGCCATACTCCAAGTATGGCAAAATCAATGAACATTCTTGCAAGATGATTTGTGTTTAAAAATTGCAAATTGCCCCAGCAACGCAGTAAAATTGCCTTAATACACCAAGCAAATAATTTTGTCTGCACTTTACGAAAGGTGAACAGGCATAAATGATTGTTGTTGCCTTAAGTAGATATTAATGTTGAATAAACTATTTTATACTTATGTGGCATGGCTCTGTATTTATGTTCACTCTTGTAGATGCTGATGGTGTGTCAAACACTGCCACAGTTGCCATCACGCTGAAGGAGACCAATGACTTCCCCCCTCAGCTCTTCCCTCTGAGTGGCTCTGTATGCCAGGGTGCAGGGCGAAGTTCTCGTCTGGTTGTGACTGCTGTGGATGAAGACCTTCCTCCACATGCTGCACCCTTCACCTTTGAAATACCTGATGATCTGTCAACCAACTGGACCGTAATTCAGGTCAACGGTAAGTAAAGCCCATATGGTGTGAATTTGTATAAAGGATGTTCTTGTGGCTCAGGTAATGTCACACCATTCTCATTTCTTCTCCTTCTCCGTGTTCCTTCCTGTTTCAGATACTCATGCTGTGCTTCAGCCCCTCGTAGAGCTGGAGGCAGGAGAGTATGCAGTCACGGTGCTGGTGTCAGACTCCGGCAGCCCAGCTCTGAGTGCTTACGCTCAGGTTAATGTCACGGTGTGTCTCTGTGACTCCTCTGGAGATTGTAAATCTGAGGTGGGAGCCATCCTAGGCTCCAGTGTCGGCATCAGCTTCATCGCTCTCGGTATCATTGTGGCCAGTATAGCACTCCTACTGTGTAAGTCATCTTGAAAGCAGCATTCAATTTGGCTCTAATATAGAAAACTTTCTGTTTTTTGCAATAAAAATGTAACAGTTGCTGTTTTCAACCTGTCAAATACAACAACATTCTGTTTTATTATTGTATATTTAATATTTTAGGGGTTTTGCTATTGGCTGGACAAGACGTTTGAAGGTGTAACTGGACTGTGAGAGACTGAGATAGATCATTTTTTTGTACTATTTTCTGACATTTTATAGACTAAATGATAAATCATTTATTGGGAAAATATTTTGCAGTGTACTTCATAATGAAAAACCATAACCAGATAAATGCTAATTAATAAAAATGTGACGATTTCCCTCTGTGTATTTGCAGTGCTGCTCCCCCTTGCTGTGGCAGTGACCGCCTGCAGGAGACGCCACCACATCATGAAAGGAACGGGCCTGCTTGTTGGGGAATCAGAGGATGACGTCCGTGACAATGTCTTCAACTATGATGAGCAAGGAGGGGGTGAGGAGGATGAGGTAAGGCTACATGGGTCAGATGTTAAATTTCCTGCCAAAGTTAAGAGTGCCGATATGAACAGTCTTGTGGTCATGCTACAGTGGATGCACTTTGTATAATGTGGTGGAAGAACTGTGGATGTGGAAAGCATATGAATGATTTGGGATTAGGAATGCAGTGGTACAGTAGGACACAACAGTCTTACTGGTTTAATAGTAAATTCATGGTATTTAATTGTAATTAATGACATGAGTGTGTCACCAGTGGTGGAAGAAGTATTCGGATTGTAAGAAGTTTCAATACCACAGTGTAAAAATACTCTTACATGTGAATGTCCCGCATTCAAAATGTTACTCAAGTATAAAAGTATTAGCATCAAAATGTATCAAAAGTAGAATATACTTATGGCCCAGTTCACAGTTCACATACTCAAGTACAAATACCTCAAAACTGTACTTGAGTAAATGTACTTAGTTACTTTCCACCTCTGTGTGTCACCACAGATTCTGATATGTTCACATTTGTGAATGTGGTTTTGTTTGTTTTCCTGTTTATATGTTATGCCTGCATTATTAAAGTATATGCAGAGTCAGTCTGTGGCCACTTCCTCTCACCTTACAGAATGCGTTTAACGTTGACCTCCTGTGGAATCCCCATGATGCAACCCCAGGGTCCTTCTACCCAGGATATGGTGTTCCTCGAGGCAAGCAGCCCCTCAGGAAGGATGCCCCGCATAACCTGCCTTCCCCCTCCTACCCCAGGAGGCCTCCTGCAGATCCCACTGACCTTGAGGACTATATCAATGATGTGAGAGGCTTCTACCACGACCTCGTTTTACATACAGTTCATAACAAAAATGCAGTTTAAATGTTCAAACCATACTCTTACTGTAAGTTACACACAATGGGCCCAGCTACCTCATGAATGAAGTCGGTCTGATGTCCTTCAACAACATAAACCTGTAAATATGTGAAACCCTTTTCCTGCATTAAAATATTTGTCAATATACTATGACATACTATGGAATTACTTTTAAAAGTTGCATTTATCAGTACTAAAAAAAATGTGTGTAAATTGCAGTACTATTTTTAAACCACATTAACACAGCTTCAAAGTTTTTCTTACCTGATACTTGGATAGACAGTGTTTATTCTTCTGTCTATTACTGCTTTTATCTTTGACTAATTTATCACTGAACCTTTAAGTGCATCTCGTCTGCTGTATTTCCTATTAAAACAGGATATTGGGGTGGTACATAACACAGGAAAGGATCAGGCAAAACTGGGTAGCTCTTTAGGACAGAAGGCATTGATTTGTCCTTATCATTTTTCTTTCCTCAGGGCCTCGAGGCTGCTGACAGTGATCCTAACGTGCCTCCATATGACACAGCGTTGATCTATGACTATGAGGGAGAGGGCTCTCTGGCAGGCAGCCTCAGCTCCATTGCTTCAGGCAGCTCTGATGGAGACCAGGACTATGACTATCTCAACGACTGGGGACCCCGCTTTCAGAAACTCGCCAACATGTATGGCCCGAGTTAAGGTGGAGAACGCTGCAGAAAGAGAACCTGACAAAGATCATGCCTCAGGTGTTTGTTCTGAACACATTTGAAAAGATTTTAGACCAGGGCAGGATTTAAAGTGCTATGCAACACCACGGGCCTTACCGTGCCTTAGACTTTAGTGAGAATTATTTGGACACACCTGAAAAATGGCTGTTGCAATGATTTGTAGTTTGCTCAGGTAAATGAGACAGTAAAATCATGCGTTGATAGGATCAGCTCCGAGGAAAGGAGCTCTGCATAATGCAAAGCAAACAGAAGTGTTGAAATGTGTGTCCACGTATGGTTTAGTTTATCCTCAGACTTGGATCGTTCAGTAATGGTGCATACGACAAGCCAGAGATATAAAGACAATCTTTTAAATGTTCTCTTTTTTTATATGCGATTATTTTATAAGATGAATTTGCTTTGATATTGAGTTGTTTTTTTTTATTATCATAAATCCTCCATTCCAGCATGTTTATCTTTTTGCAAACTATCTCGGTACAGAATATTAATCAGCATAAGAATATTCTGTAATGAAACTGGAGGTGAAGACTTTGAATGATGTTTTTTTTTTTAAATATGTTTATTGAATTTAGATTTTACTGGTGTCTACAGAATAAATGTCTTTATTTAGTACCCGTATTATTCATCTTCATAGGCTGCAGTACATTTACTCATAATCCACACATGAGCCTATATATCTCTGACCACAAATACTACATAAATAGTAACACAATATTTAAATAAAACTTTATTTAGCAAGAATATACTTTGGGACTTCATATCAGCTTGTGGCAATCAAAGCAATACATAACCCATAATACAACTTCTTTTTCAAAAGAAAAAAACACTACCTCAACCTTGTTTCCTCACTGATGGGGACCAATTTAATTTGTTACTGTTTATGTTTCAAAAAAATGTACTCAAATACACACTATTATGTGAGTGTAAATATATTTGCTCTGCCAAGATAGAAAATCACTAAAGTCGACTTTTAGTAGTACACAAAGACTTGGTTGACAAATTGCCAGCAGTTCCTTTGCTGCATTAATCATTTAGTGCTTCCTTGATATAATATGTCATGTGTCCCTGTGTCCCCCCACCCACACACACACACAAAACACAGCAGTTGGAGAAGAATTTTGAGACATGCATGTTCAGATTAGGCCAGCTGTGGATTCATGCCCTCTTCTCTCTGTTTCCGTGGTGGTGGCGTTTGAGGGTCGTCTATTCCTGTATCTTCTTTGTCTCTTACGGCCTCCATCCAGCTCTGTGGAGCGATCATCTTCTTAGGTCCATGGGGCGGTGGGCCCAGCAAGGCTTCAATGTCATCATAGTTCACTACCTCGCGCTCTAACAGTGCATTGGCCAGCTGGAAAGACAGACCCCGGATAGCCTAATTATAATTTAACAATAAACCCAACAGTCTAAATATACAAAATTTCTGATCAAAGAAGGGAACAACTGACCAGTGTCAGCTTGTCTCTGTTGTCCAGTAGCAGCTTCTCTGTGTGTCTATAAGCCCGGGCTATCAACATCTTAGCCTCCTATAAGAACAAAAAGTGCTTTCAAACCTTTATGACATGAAATAGCATTCAATGTGTTCTAGGTTAAATTAAACTACTTCAGAGCAGCTTTTAACATGTTAGTCTCACAAAAAAAACAGGAAAAGCTAAAAATCTGTACTTTAAGAGGGTATTCAAAACTCTAATTGTGCTAATTTGAGAACAGAGAACTAATCCAATTTTAGAACCTACGTGGTCCATCTGCTGCTGCAAGCCCTGGCTGAAAGGACGACGGCCAATGGCACCTTCCTCCTCTGTGGCTGGAAATGAGACCTGGCCGACACTGTCACACATGCCATACTGCTTTATCATAGAGTAGGCCACACGTGTCACCTTACGTAAGTCATCCTGAGCTCCTGGGGACACAGAGCGAGGAGAAGTCCATCTCAGTTTTTATGTAGATGTTCAGCAATTTATGTCCTGAAATAACTAAAACAATCTCACTTCATATCAGGATGAATACAAAACTCACTGCTTAATATTAATACTGAGAAGGGTTAGGAGTAGAAAGCTGTGAAGAAATGATTTGAAAGCATTCAGCAGGTAAGTGAGAAGCAGGATATACAATGCATGGAGTGTACCTGTGGTAACTCTGTTAAAGGTGACTGCCTCAGCAGTCCTTCCTCCCAGAGCCATACACATCCGCTCAAACAGCTGCTCCTTGGTGAACAGGTACTGGTCACGTGGTAAAATCTGGGAAAATCCCAATGCTGCATTCGTCCGTGGGGCAATTGACACCTGAAAAATTCATCACAGGTATATTTGTTTTGCAGCAAGATAACACACAAACACGTATGACATAAGACAGCATAGATGAGGCAGACCAACAGAAAATGCACAGATGCCAATGATCAGCACTGTAATAATACACAGCTGCTGCATTTATATAACCTGGCAAAAAAAGAACCATCAGTAAATGGTGAAATGGCAGATACCTAAGTGAAAATTGGTCCTGAAGGCACCTCTTAAACGATTCATTAGATATGGTGTCTACAATAGAACTGGTAAGTGCCAAATCTTTGACCTACAGTATAGGACTAAGATGATTAAAATAAACTGTCCTACATTTGCAGTAAAAGCCGACACACACTGTGGAGCTGACATAAAGGAGTGTGTTACCTTCATGACTGCCTCTGTGTGCTCAAGTAACCATCCCACTAAAGCATGTCCTGACTCATGGAAGGCAACCACCCTCTGTTCCTCTTTGGACAGGATCTTACTTTTCTTTACACTTCCTGAGGAGACACACAGATTTGTCTGATTTTGCCAGAGTGGCAAGAGGGACATATGAAAAATACTGTTTTCCCATGATCATCATCACAGTACCTGCTATTACTCTCTCCACTGCATACTCAAAGTTAAAGGTGTGGATGGACTTGTGCCCCTCTCTGGCAGCATGCAGAGCAGCTTCATTACAAATGTTAGCAATGTCTGCACCTGCAGAGACAAAGTGAGGTGGCAACAGAGATTTTTTTTGAGTTTGTTTATTCATGGAGGCAGACCAATATTTTGCTATGGTTACCGACGTTCCTAGATTTACACAAGGACAAAACGTAAAGGTGAATGGATTATACTAAAGCTGTGAAGCTTGTTTTACTCCAGTGAAGTGCATCTTTTCAGTACATTGTGTTACGTTTAACGAATCTTCAGCTGTCACTGAACTTGTTTTGTTTGAAACGCCAAAGCTTTAAATATTTTTTCAGCACAAATAGAAAGAAAGTCCCAATGGTTCAAAAGGCTTCATCCACTTGTCACTAACAAAGCGTTAAATAAATATGTAAATTATATACCACTGAATCCTGGGGTGAGCTCAGCCAGACGCTGAGAGTAGAAATTAGCAGGCTGTGTCAGCTTTAAGATCTTCAGATGCTGCTCATAGATCTCCTGCCTCTCCTGTGAGAAAACAATGAACATGGAACTAACTAGATTTAACTGACAAACTGTATAAATGTGTTACACAGTTAACAAAGTTTAGCATGGTCCCAAAATACAACAGTACAGTAGTGGACACAGCATTTAAAACTTTTTCAAACAGCAGTTGAGGCTGTTTGAGAAAGTTCTTTACATTTACTTTGTAAAGTATGTTTACTATAATACATTTATAAAAGGTGCTTTACAATATTACAAAAACTGGGACAAAAAAAAAAACAGGAGATATGACAAACTGCAATGACAACACTGAATTTTTAACAGATATGGGAAAAAAATGTCATTAACTAAAGATGATGTTTTGAGCCCAATAAGGTATAATTAAGTACAGTAGACTAATTACAGCACTATCTAATTATGGCCACTGGCGACAGTGAGTGCTTAAGACTACCTGCAGCGTGGGCAGATCTAAGAAGATGTGCCTGTCCAGTCTGCCTGGTCTCATGAGAGCATTGTCCAAGATATCTCCTCTGTTAGTGGAAGCAAGGACAATGACATGGTCTGTCGTTCCCATCCCTGAAAAAGAACAATGTTTCAGAGTTTCATCCCTCTGTCTGAAAAGTCTGACTCTGATGACAACAAACTGAAACTCACCATCCATTTCTACCAGTAGTTGGTTGAGCGTCTGCTCCTCTTCAGTGTTAGAGAAACCAGACATGTTGGTGGAGCGCCTCTTCCCCACAGCATCAATCTCATCAATGTAGACAATGCAGGGCGCTCGGGCACGAGCCTCCTTGAACAGACTCCTGACCCTAGCAGCACCCAGGCCTACACACAAAAACAAAATAAGGCTACATTCACATTACCTGCTGAAGTGACCCAAATCCAAAGTTTTCCTTCCAGCTGACTCAAAACTGATATTTTTCATTGTTGTGTGAACAAACCAAACTGGATTTTTTTTCCAATCAGATCTGAGCCCCTTGACCATGTGGTCCTACATCCAATTCCAATCTGATACCTGATTATGCCACCGCTGTCAAAACTGTCAAATTGAAATTCAGGTTGTTGCTGGTTTTTTTAGTTGTTTTTTTTATGTCTCACTCCTCTGTGCATGTGCATATTGCTTCCAATCAGATCTGAGCCCATTGACCATGTGGTCAATCAGTGTCAAACCTCTCACAGACAAAGTAGATATAAATAAAACAAAACAAAAAATGGAGGAAAACAAGAAAAGCAATGTGGATCAGTGGACACAAAAACAACTCAAAGAAGCTTCTGATCAAGCCAAACTGAAAGGAATGTGTCATAACTGAGCAGTTTTTAATAAACTGGGTAATTTAACTGTTGTGCAAATTACCCAGTTACTGCAAGTGACTCACCTTTTAGTTAATTCTAAGCATGTGTGGCACTTTAGGACCTCTACAATGTTCAAACACACTGTTGGATACATTTCACTTAGAAACATGAGCGTCAACCATCGGCACAAAAAGAATTAGATCTGACATGAAACAATTTACAGTAGAGGTCTGTGATATGAATGTCACCTAAGTCACATCAGAACCGTAACAGTATTTATTCTGTCTTTAAATATTAACCCTGTAATAAGGCTGTCATGAAAAGTCTTAGCGATGTAAAATACAAAAATATATATTTTTACCAATGTTTTGATACCTCTAGTGCAACAGAATTGTAAAGATAATATTTACAAACAAAATACATGAGAAACAATCATTAGTAATGTGTATACGATGACCGAGAAAGTGGCCAAAAGTCAAATTTTTTTCAGTAAATTACAGCATGTCTGTTCAGATATTTATTCAGTGACATCAGCACTGTAATTTATATGGCTACATGCCATACTAATTGCTGATGCTCTCTTTACATACCTCCAATGACCTCCACAAACTCAGAACCAGCCATAGCCAAGAAAGGCACCTGGGCCTCAGTGGCTACAGCTTTAGCCAGCAGGGTCTTCCCACATCCTGGAGGACCGAGCAGCAATGCACCCTTGGGAACTTTGGCTCCCAGCTGGATGTATCGTTCTGGATTCTGGCAACAGATAACATGAACAGGGAAATGAATGTTCTACTTGTGAAATTTGGGTGGTAGCTACAGAGAACTTCAGTCCATCAGGTAGATACTGGGTGCGCTAGACCATCAATTAAATTCAACTCATCCTTGGATGACTTCATTGGGATTGAAAATTCAATGTGTGCTTTATAAAAAAAAAAAGTTTAATATGCTCTAAAAAACAAACATATTATTTTGGGTCTGGTTTCTTACCTTGAGGTAGTCAACAAATTCCTTTACTTCCATCTTAGCCTCATGCATGCCAGCTACATCTTTGAAACTCACACCTTTACCCGACTTGCCATCCACAATGGTGAACTTGGCCATCTTCAGCTGATTCTGTTAAGTATGTTTGAAATTTGCATTTAATATGCTAGTTAAATCAGCAGAACACAATCAGTTTGTTTATGTGGTGTCACTCACAAAAGCGCTGAAGCCGCCTTCTCTACCACTCATGCCTGCTAGTCGAAACATATACCAGAGTATAACCACACCGATAGCAGCCATCCCCAGGGCATAGACAACACTGCAGGGTAAAGATGAAAAAAAAAAACAGTGCACTGGGTCTTAAAAAAGCTAAAAACATTTTTTTTAATTTCAGCACAAAAGAAAACCAGGCTTCAAGAGATGGTTGCCAATTTAATCAGTCTAACTTTTTAATCTGATACTATGTACCAGTCACTCACATATCCATATTTTCTAAAGAAACAAAATGATGGGACCTATTGCCTAGTTATAAACTTAATCATAAGAAGTATCATCCAACACAATGACAACTTAATTGATCATGATTTTTGTGGCTGACACATCCTTTCAATCTGTATAGAGATAAGATTCCTTCAGATTGTGCTTTAGGCTTTTACAGGTACCTTATAAATGGATTTCTTTTGATTTAAAGTTTATTTTGAGAAAGGTCACGTTCTTACTTCCCAAAGAATCCAGTGCGTTTGTAGGACACCGGTATCCTGTCCTTAGTGTCAACATTGAGCTCCTCCTCAGCAGCCCTCAGCTTCTCCTCAAATTTGTCAATGTTAGCAACCTGCATTCTGTACATGAGCACCGGCTTCTGCATAGCAAGAAACAAGAGGTTACCATGCACACCTGCTGTAAAAGTTCTGATGTTAATTGTGTGTTTGAATTTAATCCAGTACAACATACAGGTCTTCCAAAGACAATTGCTCCAGGATGAAGGTAGATTTCTACAATGTCACTCTCAGGGACGACTTGCACACGTGACACCTCTCCCTTGGCCAACACTTCATTGACAAAGTCATTCCAGGAGATGTTGCCACCACTGGTATTAAAGAGGTTCATTAGGCTCATGAGGAATGCTAAGATGAAGAGGGCTCGCAGGCGCACCCGGTACATCTGATCCTCCTGTTCACGGCGTTTTTTCTCCTCTGAGAGGTGAGAAAGATTATGAAAAAAGAGAATACAAGGGATCAGAAAAAGAAATGAAGATCACAGCCAGATGTGGTGCAGGTACTGAACAGCCACATGCCAAATTCATCACTTACCTTCATCTTCCTTTGGAGTTTTCCCCTTTGGTCCATCACTTTTATTTTTCTCTTGTTTAGATTGAGATGTACTAAAGAAATTTGTTCCCCCTGAAATCCAAGTATTTTTCATTATAAGCAGCAATAAGTGACATTAAAATGTAATATAAGTATATAATTATATAAAGGCTGATAAAACTGAGTGTTTACCCAATAGAGTTACCAAACCAACAGGGTTTCTCAGCAGGTTGCTTTTGATTAGTTCTTTGCTAATTCTCATCATGCCAGGACTCAAGGGTCTGTGGAGGAGACTCTAAAATGGGAATATTATGACAACATATTTTATTGTGACAAAATATTAGAACAATGTGAAAGAGAGGAAGTAACAATTGCAGTAATTTGCACATGCATTAGAACTCTATCACAATACACTTACAATTTCAAGCTGAGTGAGGCAGCTGACCCTAATTATAAAGACGTATTACCGATGAAAATCACTGAATTATTCCTCTAAACTAGGATCGTGGGGTTTTTCCCTTATAATTTATATAATGTCTCATTATGGCTACTGGGGTACAGATTAGACCTCACAGACCGATTGTTACGTGTTTCGATGGCAATGACGATCATATTTGTTAGTTTTTCTCGGCTTTTACACTACAATTTGGGATTACTCTTAGAAAACATTAATCCAATAACTATATGTGGTGAATCTCTGGTGTATTTTGACTCACCTGGATGAGTTTCTGTGGCTGCCTTGACAGTGTCCGCTCTGATGTTGATAAGCGGATCGTTCGGACATTAGGGAATCTGGACATTAGCGCATTTTTAACACGATCACTTGTTTGGGGCGTATTTGCAACTATAAGAGAGTTTCTCCTTGACGATGTCCACAACAAACCTCTACTGTATTTCTTACAAAGGTCAGCACGGTGGTGCTGCAACAACATTGCTAACATCGTGTCTGTTATCACTGACTGCAGTATATTAGCTAAACAACTGCAATGCCATAACTACGATATGGGTTTTCTATGAAGCTAAAACTGTGCTTTACATCTGTTTACCTTCTACCTGTCTACCTTCGTTTTGCTGTTATTCAACCGTACAGCCGACCAAAGATATCAGCTCGAAATCAAGACAGCAACTAGCTGCGCACTTCCTGCGCACAGAAATAACCAAAAACAAAAAAACAAAAACAAACGTATTTACTCTAAATTCCCCTTTATCGCAGCTGCCATTGTACACACTGTGTTTAATCCAGGATGAGTACAGAACATAGTAGTTTAACAAATCCCATACTCTTAAAAATATATTTGCCTGAACTTTGAACGTCAACCTTTTCTTTGTTGTTCTTCAAGGATCTACGAGCTGCGCAGGCTTTTGCGCAGGATTTACCATACATCACAATGTAAGCCCTGCAAGAGTACCTAGCTGCAAACAAAAAAAGAATTTCATTAGAAGTTTTTTCTTAAAACAAAAAACAACTCCTTTATTTAATAGAAAGAACTCCTCTATTTAATAATGTTACTTAATACAATTGTTTTATATATTCATCTTAAATATTCATTTGATAGAATTAAAATAAATGTTACATTTATTTATGGCATTTGAAAACGTATTTATTGTTCTTTTGGCTAAATTCCATGTTTATAGAAGTAAATATAATAGGTTTGAGACATTTGTTTGTTTATTATAGGTCAATAGGCTCAATTATAGGCTCAATATATAGGTTAATATTTTTCCTCTGACAATGACAAAGCTGCTGTCTTAGCCGACATGTAGGTATTTCTGCAATCTCATCTTTTATATAATGATTTTTTTTATTTTTTTTTATTCAAATGAATATTTTATTTTATTTTTTATAATAAATTTATTTCTTGGCATGTTTATGATCATACCCTATATATATGTTTTATTCCCTGAAAAAAGATTTGAGAACATGGTTCACTTTGTATAATTGCCATTAATGACAGTTTTATAGCCTACTGGTGTGCATCCCTTACTTTATTGAGCAGGCTATATAAAAACGCTTAAGTCTGTAACCTAGAACATTGTATAAAATCAGACATTAGCCTGATTAGAGGCTACCAATCATTTATTGAAAATGGAAACTATGAATTCCTTTGGGAATAAAATTCAATAGGCTACAATACAATAATAACATTACAATACTTTGTGTACATAATTAAATTATGTCCAGAAAGTATGCGATACATAGTGATAGACGTGAATATAATAGCCTAATAGCCCGTTTGACTCCCTAAAATGATTTTATGGTTAGCAAACTACTGAATATATTTAATTTTAAGAAGTGTAAAATAATAAAGGAATTTTCCCAAGATCTGAACATTGTAGCAGTAGTCCAGCAGAGTGCGCTATTAGTTAGGAAGTAAATTGAGTAGACTGAATTCACCTGTCATTAGTCGAGTTAGGTTTAGTGAAATTAACAACAATAATAAATGAGCTTGAACACATTTGTTGTCACATCACATGCTTTACATTGGAGAATCGTGGAGGACTGTGCCATGCAGAGCCATCGGTCTTCAGGTTTTCATGGCCAGTAATCACCTCAGCAACGTGGACTTTATCCGCTTTACTAAAAGGAGCACCAGTCAGTAACATCAGATTTAATTATGGGGCACAATCATGCAGATTGCGGCCTTCATTCTTTCATCATTGCTGTAAAAAAATCAAGGTAATCTGAAAAGCTACGTGTATGTCAGTTTGAGTGGCATAATAAGCAAACCAATAACAAGGGGTGGGGGACTTCTCTTTGAACCAATGGGAGCCTTCATTACATCCGTTCACGTTTCTTTTTCACCATGGGTACGTCAAGTTTGTTCACCGATACGTTCCGCTTCCTTGCTATCTCTCCTCTGTGGTCCATACCTTGTATTTGAGGTCTGGCCCATGCATTGAAAATAAAACAAATCTTAATTAGTGTCAAAATATATAGCGATTACTTATATCTGTAATTATGCACTTATGACAAAAGATTTAGCCATTACCGACATTAAATAAATCGTTCGTGTGAATGTCTTAGCCGTTTTACAGAAAGCTTACTAACATTCAGTTTAAGTTTCGCCCTTCAAATCAACATCCATATTTTAAGTAATGTATGACAAATAGAATTATATAACAAGAGAGAATAAAACTGCGTTTAAGGTTTGCGGAGATATAGAAAACGAGTGCACCCAATGCCTGTACTCCATTTCCTTTTCTTCGTCCTCCGACTATATAATGGAGTGTGGTCTCTTGTGTTTGAAACTGTGAACTGCGGTCAGCCACGCTGGAGCCGTGCTTATGTTTGTTCTGAAGGGGGAACAGAGTGCTATGTGGATCCAAAATGGTGTCTATATCATCACGCGCGGAAATGGTAACCGCCTACATCGCCAGCACCAATCAGAACGCTCGTTTCATCCCCGAAGCGTTTCCGTGCCGAGCGTCCACACACAGAAGTCAAAGGCCGCTTGAAAACCACTCGAGTGGGTTGGCAGAGAGGATTAAACCGAAACAAACATTGATATTTTGATGTTATACGTCCATCCAAGCAAATCTGTCTTTGTTGAAATGGACTGTTAAAGGTTCGTAGTTTGTGGCGAAGACAAAATATATACACTGCAAACGGGTTTTTGTGGATGCTTTAGCCTTATTTCCTTTGGACGTCTGTTTGTTGCTCTACACCAGCTAGCGCTAGCCTCGATTCTAGTGATCTGCTTTTATGCTGCGAATGTCGTCGCCAGTTTATGCGGATGTCTCCGGGCCAGTCTAACGTTATGCTGAACAGACGGCAGCAAATGGGACCATCCAGCATCGGCCGAAAACATTGAGGCCGCGGCGTAGATTAATCATTGAAGATTCTGTTATCTTTTTGAATTTCTGGACATTCAGACAGAGGTAAGTTGCATTTTTACTGTTCCTGCATAGCTAACATTTTAACAACAACAAAACTGGCTAGCCTATAGCTGCCCCCGTGGTTAACCCGAGTTTTGTGTTGCTACAAAGGTCAACTTGCATTATCTTAATTTTCTTATGGTTTTAAGCATATGCTATGTTTGTGTAATTTTTCCCCCCTGGAAATAGACAGATGTTTAGCACACTGTTCAACCTCTTTAACGCGGCACTTCCACGGTTATACTTAGCTGTGTTTCAGTAACGCAAATTAACCAGAAAATTATTCCTTGTGAGTATCTCACACTGAAGTAACGTACGCCAATTTAAGTTGATTTAGCACATTTATTGTAACTGTTTTGCCTCATTGCACATGTGCCACCGGACTGGCACGGGCAGTGTGTTGTTATTTTAAAACTAAATGTTTTGATTAAGCACCTAGTGCTCCGTACATTGATAACGCACATATACGTATATGTACATGCATGTCAACAAATTATTAGATCGGTCTTGTGCATGTGTTGTGGAAAGCTTAACGTGTACTATCCCTGAACAGTAATGTTTAGAGTGATGTTTGGCCTAAATAGCATGCTTGTTGGGCAGCTCTGTGTCTTGTATGTTTGCTCGTCTGATCCAGCACTAACGTAAAATGGGTGTGCTAGAAGCCTGTTAATAAGGAAACCACTGAATTAGAACTAAAATCTGTGCACATCTGTTCTTTATAGGAGTATTTAAAGAATGGTGCTTTCACATGCTCATTTGCTATCTGGATTTTTCTGGAAGTCTCTGTGTGTAGTTAGTAGGCATGCAGTGATGGATACCTGTTACCTACATTGGTTCAGTGGAGTGTTTGTGTGTTATGTTGTAAATAACATATAATGGAGGGGCACAACATGGTAGGATTTGAGATGAGCTGTGGAAGAAAAAAAGAATGTGGAGGAGAAGCTCCCCACTTTGGTGCAGTACCAGTGCTGAGGAAAACACTGCAGTGCCGCTGGTGGTGTTTTCCACCAAGATAGTGAGGGTGTTTTGGCTTGCTGAAGTGTTGGTGTTGACTACACTGCAGAGGCAGTGGTGCATATCTTTGTCTCCTTGTGTAGGTGCTATAGCCAAAGCCTTGATTTATATAGTATCGTATATCAATTCTGTCATATATGAAGATTATGATGTGTGGGATTTAGAAGTATTAACTTGCTTTTTCTCTAGTATATTAGCACATATCCCTGATGTGTTTACATTGTAAAAGTGAGAACCTATATACTGAATGGAAATCTCATTTAAAGTCAGATCTCTGTCTCACATGAAGTGAAGTCTGGGTCTGTCATTTGTTTTGTGTTTTGACATTTTCCATGGGTCTGTTATGTAGTGGGCACCTGTATCTTTATTTGTTTTCTTAGTGTTAAATTCCATTTTTGATGATTTCCACTGACTTATGAATGACTACCCCAAGACAGTGAGGACCTCTGTATCAGGAAGCATGTGAATGTCATGGTGGCATTTATGTAAATGTGGCCATTAATAATAAATAGGAGTCTTATTCAGAAATTTTAGTTTTCAATCCAAAGTATATATTGTAACAGACAGGTAGCATTTCTTTGCTTATATTCTCCTGTTGCCTAACAACAACTCTTCAGATTCAGTTAATGGTCAGTTTGCCCAGGTGCAGGGCGTTTGTTGTGTTCACCAAAATTAGTCGTCCTGTGTATTGGTTGGACTTTCTCATTGTGTTGCTGATGTGAACAAAGTGATGTTGAAAACATGTCTGATTGCTCCGTTTCTCATCCTTGATCTCAAGGCTTTCTTAAAGATTTATGTTGCCTAACGTATTGGCATTTTTAAACACCAATTTAAAGGTAGGTTTAAGATGGGCACAACTGAGTCCATGGATTATGGCAAAAACACAACAGTGAATGCAAGAGAACAAGATGCTTTTGATTACTGTGTTTGGGTGGCTCAGCAGTAACAGTAGCACAGGAAAACCATATGGTTATTATGACTGGGTCTTACTGAATAACCCACCATGCTCAAGTACTGATTCTGAGACCATTAAAAGTAAAAATGTTGTTGAAAGATGAACCGCATATCAGAAATGATAAACAAGTGAGGGCAGATTTTAAAACATGCAGAGAACACTGCAGTACTTACATATTAGGCATCATGCTTCAGAGTGACTCTGCATATTACCTTTTTAGTAGCACAGTCTACCATAATATTATTAATGACCTCAACCGTCAAACTGACTTGCAGGTCATATTTCTGCCTTGAAATTTACCAAATAACCATGCACGCATATCAAGTCTGTCACGGTTCTAAATGCGTTTTTTTTTTTTTTTTTAAGTGAAACACATATTCCTGGTGGTCACATACAGTGTGTACCTGGCATATGCATATTTTTTTATGTATTCTTACTAACG